TTACTTTCTTGCTAAGTTTTCATACTGTACGGTTTGGTTTTGCAACTGTAAAAGTTTTTCTGCCTTTACATTTGCTTCAACTTCTTTTTTATACTCATCGCTATCCATATATGTCTTCAGGGCTTTTTGTTTTATTTCTTCATCTTTCAGTACTTTATATTGAGTAGTATGGTTTTTCAAATTTATAACATCTTGTTCCATTTTTGCTACTTCTGCTGCTTTTTCTGACACTTTTTTCGCATATTCCTCTGTACTTAGTTCTTTCAGTTGTTCTTCTTTCTTCTTTTTCTCTACGTTTAACTCATTGAGTTTCTTTGTGTGTCTGTCATATTCTAGTTTCTTTTCGTTTTCACTTATTTGTTTCTGTATGTCTATGTTTGACTTTTTGACATCTGTTATTTGATTTTTGAGTGAACTCAAATTCATTTGACTTTGAGGGTTATAAGCTGTTCCGTCTGCAGCTCCACCATAGCCTGCCATTTTCGCTAAAAGTGCCGCTCTTAAACCTCCACTCTGTGCACCAATAACTCGGTTTAAAAGCATAGGGTTGCTTGACATTTGTTGCAACATAGTGGGGTCATTCAGCATTTGTTGTTGCAACTGTTGTTGTGGTGTCAGTTTTACTATTGGATGTTTCAATGCTCCCTTCCTCTTACGTATATTCTTACGTAGCTTACGTGGCATTTTAAGTGAAGTTAAAAAGCGGTTTTATACTAAACATCTTCGGGGCTAGAGGGCGCAACGCGCCTGGAAGCCCCACTACCTTTTTTTTTCAAGTAGATGTGATTTGATTCTGTACAACTAAATATTAATATATTTAAAACATTGTAGAATTAAAATTTTTGACGATATCAATTTATAAAAAAAATGCAAGCGAATCCTTTTAATAAAGCTAAGATACGATTTGCTTCACTTTGTCCACCTAGTAAAGTGTTCAACACAGGGAGCATGGACTGGGAAGCATGTGGGCTACTTGCATTAGCCGGTAAAGGCACAATTTATCTCTATAAAACTACTAAAAATGATATTTCTTTCTTATGATCCATTGAAATTCTAAATTCTAACATAACTTGCCTTAAATTCCACTATGAGCTACCTTATCTTGCAATTTCAGACGATTGCGGAAGAGTTTTGTTATGGGATTGTGAATCAGGTCTTACACTCGGAATCACTCGTCAAGTATCTGAAGCTCAGTATGTATCGGAGCTTCAATGGTCCCGTAAAATCGTTTTAGGCTTTGCAGAACCAAATACAATTTATAGTATCGATTTTTGGCCGTATGAAGCTGAAGATCAAGCGAAAAACTCACGAATACTTTGGAAGATAGATGTTCCTGGTACATATACAAGGATGGCTGTTAATAGTTCAGATATATTCACTGCAATTCTATATTCTAATGGTCCATCCTTTACAATTATCACGTCAAAGAATGCCAAGCAGGCTCCAACATCTCAATCTCAATCCCATACTTTAGATAAATCAGAAAAAATCGTAGAAATTCAACATCATCCCCATATTAGTAATATTTTATTAATTATGCTTGAAGGAAAAATACTTACGTTTAACATAGCGACCAAATCTGGCCGAAATCTTGTAATCGATGAATCATCCCAATCATCTTTCCATAAACTGCTTCCTTCTTTAACAAATGACAACGAAATTACAGTTTATGGTCAAGACTCGTCACTCAGTATCTATATCTGTAACGAAGACTACATTTTTACAAAATCAGGAACAATAAAATTGAAAAGAGAGCTGTTTGACTTAAAATCGAAGTATTTACCACTATCCGCTGCATGTAACCGTGCACTTCCCGAGCGATACATCGCGTTCTCTCCATCAAATGGCTTAGTTATGTTTGCCATAAAAGATGATATACCTTACGTCATCGCGCAGTCTCAAATTATACCACAGATACCAACCTGTTACGATTTCTACGACGGAATCCTTGCTTTCGGCACTCCAACCGGAAAGATAATTTTCGCAGACGTTTCAGAAGGGAAATACACACAGAACTACCTTGCATCCAGCACATCCATTGAAAAGATCAAGTTCCTTACCAAAGATGTCCTTCTGTGGTACTCAAAAACCGAGTGTGGATCAATAAATCTTCCCAAGCGCCAAGTTATTCCAATCCACACTCGCCTTGGCCCTGCCACAGACCTAATATGTTCAGAGGAGCTCGGCGTTTTCGTCCACGGCAAATACGACCTTGGTATTTTTTATGATGTCAAACAAAAGCCGATGACTCTTCAAACATCCATCACCGCTGTTGCAGTCCAAGTATCCAGAATACCAGCAACATGTTTCCAAGGCGATACTCCCAATTTCGCCGTATTATTATCTACCGGAGAAATCCAAGTCTACACATACAAGAACGGCATAGCACAGATGCCTGT